AAGGAGATAATAGCGTATAACCACTCAATTCATTCTGTCACTGGGTTCTCACTCATCGAAGTACTGTTTAGGATGCGAGGACGAAGACGAGATTGCGAGGAAACGGCGACTAACGACCAAGTGTACAAGTAAGTAGTAATAGGGTTGAATTAAGGAGGACGTGGTGGGATATGGTACGAGGAAAAATAGAGAGGGAAAAGAGGAAGACGGTAGGTAGAGATAATTTAAGACTACGCAATCAAATGGGGGATTTGAAAATCGGAACTACCGTGTACCGGAGAAGGGGAAAGAATTGACGCGATACAAGGGCCCATTCAGGGTAGTTGCCATCAGGGAGCATAATTTAGTAACCATAGAGAGTATGAAGGAGCTCAAAAAGAGACGCACAGTTCATATCGAACAATTGAGACTTCCGTTTGTAGGGGCAGAAAAAGAATAGATGAACCGTGGTGCCCTCTTTTCTGCAAACAGGAAATACATTTTTTTTTTTTTTTTTTTGTTTGATGTAAAAATAGTTTGTATATACGAAAAAGTTCTGTTTTTTTGGTTCTATCGTATGTTTTTAAAAAAATCCTGTTTTTGTGCTGTTGTATATTTTGTTCTGTAGTTTTAAGTGAATAGAAGTATATTTGTTTTACTCATAGAGTAATGTCTCTGTTGTAAACATAATGCAGGAGGATCCCTGAGTTTGTTTTATTACTATTATCATTATATTTTTTTTATTATTATTTTTGTGTTAGGTTTACAGAAAACGAGGTGGTAAGGCTGATACAGTTCGCTTCGCTCGAGAAGTAAAAGTTTTCGAAATGCTTTTCGTAAACTAGTGGGGGGGACAGGAGTCGGGCAGTATCAGCCTTAATACCATCCTGGTATGTAAACATAGCTCTGAAATTTATATAAGAAGGATTACTTCACAAATAAACCAGTATTGTTTCTGAAGCCGTGTGAGTCATTTATCAATCTTTTTCCCTTTTTTTTTTATAGTTTTATTTCACAGTCGCATAAATTATATGTATATATATATATATATATATATATATATATATATAATATATATATATATATATATATATATATATATATATATATATATATATTTATAATTTAATATTTCATTGATATAGTATTTTTCCGTTGTATCCATCCATAGCTACAAATTTTAGATAATGTAATTTTCTAGGTTTTTCATCATTACCCAAACAAGTCAGCTTCCCCAATACCTGTCCTAACTCTAGTTTTCCAGTTCTAAGTGAAACTCCTAGCTGAACACACCTGTAAGTATCTAATTTTATTCTTCTAATTTTATTTACTTATTTATATAATTTTTTGGTTTTCTTTTCTTTCTCCACATTCCTTTATATCTATTATTTCATATTATATCCTTTTTCCTTTTCTTTCAACCTCTCTTTTAGATCTGTAGAAGTATATTCACATTTGCATTTATTATATATTACAGTACAACAATTGTTAGCATCTATTTACTTCAGTTTAGGATCTTGTTACTTAGCTTACTCTGTTCATATTTTAATAAGCTTATCCACATTGTTTATAATTTTTTGTCTAAATATTATGTAACTTCCACAATTCTCTATCTTTCTGTATTTTGTCCGTTCTAGCCCTGAAGAAGACCTGCAAAGTCGGGTCGAAACGTGAGCTTTTAATAAAATAATTTTTCCACTATTTAGCCTATTTATGACCACTACCCCGCACCATCTCCTTCATTTAAATTTTGATTAGTTTCGGCAATGCTGAAACACCTAAACATCATTTTTATATCGCATATTAAGGCCAAAGGAAAGCATCTTAAATGGTCTCTAAGTTCCGCCATATCTGTCTGGAGCTGAGGAACGGTCAAAAGCAAATCATTGAGAGAGTTCCCTCCCACCATCTTCTCCGAACCGTTAAATACGACGCTAAGCTTGTCGTGGAAGAATCTATTTCTATGTCTTCCTATCATCATTCCTATCGTTTTGTATATTTATAGTTTTTCTTTGGAAAAAAATTTTAGTCAGCTCTTTGAGAAAACTCCCGTCACGTTCATACAAGTTTTTAGCATAAGATCTATCTCCGTTCCCTACAACCTTTAAAAACAGCTGGCAGATTGGTTCAGTCGCAGATTAATACCTATCATGAACAACAGACTCTTCTCAATCCCTTTCTGTCTTATTTCCGATCACAGTTTTCTAGAACATCTGCTTTGTTGAAAATTACATTATTCCTTCAATAATCAATAAAAAAGAACATCAAAAAATCACTAACCTGGTTATCCTTTATTTTTCAGAAGCCTTGGATTTAGTTAATCGTGAAATTATCCATTCCAAACTTCAAAATGTATACATATCCAATAAAGTTATAAAATGTATCACAGATTACAATCGTCATACTTTAAGAACACCTTCTTTCCGTCTTACTATCACTTGGTGTATCTTAGGGATCTTCAATTTCGCCAACTATTTTTTCTATCTATATCAACGACCTTTCTTATTCCATCCCTCATTCACAATAGCACTTATGTTATATATGTTAAAGGCCTCAAAATCTACCATTCCTTCCGTCCTCCCGTGGTGATTGAGACAATCCGAAAGTTAAAAGAAGATGTAGGTAATATGAACGCATGGGCAGCAAGCAACGATTTGTTATTAAACTTTGAAAAGAACAAAGCCACTTTAATTGGTTCCAATCGTCTTTTTAATTCCATTCCTTATTGTCCCATACTGTACCTTAATAGCTTAACTATCCGCTTCCTCGCTTCCTACATATAAAAAAATAAAGAACAATCCTGCCCACACCGTAACAGTAAAAGAACTCATTACATCACCTATCCCACTTCCTTTGTCCTTAAAGAAATTAATACTTCCGAAGTGAAATTTCAGACCATCAAGCCCACTCAAAATTCTTTGAAAATATACTTTTAAAACGAATCCTACTCTTTATAGAATCCCAGAATCTTGCTTCCCATCAGTTTGGTTTTCGTTCACAACACTCCACTGTTAAACAAGGACTCCGATTCGTTGATCATATTTCAGCAGATATGAATAGAAAACAAGCAATACTGTTTGGGTGCATTTCTGGACATTGCAAAGGTTTTTGACCGGGTATGGCACCCCGGGCTGATCTGCAATCTTAAAACCCATCTTTTCCAATCCTTATGCCTAATCCTTCCATCCTACTTCTGTGACCGTTCCATTCGAGTACGCTGCGGATCAGCATTTTCCGATATTTATCAAATATCAAAAAGCAGGTGTTAGCCCAAAAAGCCGTGTTGGGTCCCCGGCTTTACATCGTCTTTACCGCTGAAATCCCTGTTAATTCCGATAATGACACCGCAATCCTATCATCTAACTCAGATCCTGAAATAGCATCCTTAAATCTACAAAGGCACTTCTCCCTGATTGAGCACTGGTGTGATGAATGGCTCATTAAAGCGAATGAGTCGAAATTCAAACATATTACCTTTACTCACCGACGCAATTCCTGTCCACCATTACACTTCAATTCCACCCAGCTTCCTTACTCAGGCACAGTCTACACCGAAGAATGATATGAAACCCTCATACTAGACTCAAAAGAGAAGAACTCAACCGACGATATGGCCAGCTATATAGACATCTGAACAGAAAATCACATCTTCCGATTGATAATAAACTACTGATCTACAAGACAATACTGAAACCTACGGACTGGAACTGTGGGGGACAGCAAAATGTTCTAAAATTGAACGCATTAAATCCTTTCAGTCCAAAATCCTTCGAACAATAGTTGATGCTCCGTTTTATGTAACCAACCAAACCCTACACCAAAAACTTAATATCCTATTTGTCCTTGACATTTACCATCAAAAATTTTCTAAATTTCATCAAAACCTTACATATCATCCAAATCCAATGGCATAATCCCTCTCTAGCTCTACTCATCCCTACAATCTTCCTCGATGGTTGAAGCGGCAGTGGCCCAGAGACCTGATAAGAATATATTGGAGTTCTGGCAAAGGCAGATTCTCCACTCAAGCATTGTATGTCTGGTTATAGTGTCTCTGCTCAGCCTCTATTAGAAATGCAAGTGATGGTACTGGGTGAAAGACGCTGGGATCTCCTAGATTCCTGCCTTTCAGTCCACGAGTGGGGGGAAAGGCTTGGCGCGGAAACCTCGAGTGAATGAATATTGTATAAAAGAATGTGTATATTTAAGTTGTTATTTTGATTAGTTTAGTTTATTTTAGTATCTTTTAGTTTATATAGATTTAGTATTAGTATTATTATATTGCTGTTTATTTATTTTTGTTTATTTTGTATAGTATGAATGAGCTACTGTTTATCACTTTTACTATTGTCCTTAGCTGTGACATATTGTAATATATCTCAATGAAGAATTAATAAAATTTGAGTTTTAAATATAAATAGAAAATAAAATTATTTGTTATTTGGAATAAATACAAATAAGGAAATATTTTATTTAAAAAAATATTTGGTCACCATTTAAATAAAATCATTTATTCTTTAAATATATATTTTTTATCAAACACAGCTCAGATACCAATAAACTGCATCTCATATAAATCAATATTATGCATATTGTAGCTTTCTTTATGAAATGAAATGCAAAATGCGTAATAATGATAAATTTTTCTGCAATTTAAACTGATAAGAAATCATTAATATCCAAAAAAATAATTTGTTTTATGGCTTTTATAAAAAAAAATCATAAAGTGTAATTTATTTGAATTTCTATTATCTTGTATTAACTATCTACTAATTGATTCAAATAAAAAATCATCTTTGTTCTATTATTCGCATTTAGGCTATGGGATAAAATGTTTTAATTGCAATCAACATTCAAAAAACACATTCTGAGCAACAATTGATTTTTTCATTGTTGTAACACTATAAAAATCTCTCTATTGTTGAAAATTTCTTTTCTATCTGAGAGTGATACAGTGAACCTCATTTTTGTTCTCAGTCTGGTATTATACCATAATGTTAAAGTATTTTGCACTGTTGTTGATGGTGCTAGTAGCGGATACGGGTCAGGAATGTATTGATCCTGATACTCCGGATACGACTAAATTCACCCGCCCCCCAATTGAAATAAGAGCGATCCTAGTCAGATGCCTATCGCGAAGCAATGTTTACAAGAATGTTGGATCTGACAAAGACCATATAGCTAACAGCAGGAATCGGGAAGTGCTTCAGTTTTATGGGTTTGATGAAGATGAACCCATGCTCCATTCTGAAGTAACCAAATGTAAAAAGAAGTTACAGATTTCAATCCTGTTAAACTATGACGGCGAAGTAATAATATTATTTTTTTTTTTTTACTAAGCTACTATATTCAGCCATATTGTACTGTTAATACTCTGAACCTACATGCGTTATATACAGGGTGTTTCAAACTGCAAAAATGAACTAAGGGCCTCAAAAAAAAAAAAAAAAAAATCCTCTGAAGTTATGTCCGCAAACACTTTGTTTAGGAGATATTCAATATGAATTTAATGTTTACGTTTAATTAATAAAGTAGTGGATACAAATGGATAAGTTTTATTTACTTAAGATAACGTAAATAATTCATAACAATGAATTACTTGAGGTGTGAATATCTCCTAAACAAAGCGTTTGCGGACATACCTTTTTTAGAAATAAAAATAGAATTTTTTTTTTTTTGGATATTATTTGTTTATTGATATATATTACAATATGGCCCACTAAAGGACATTTATAATCGAGTTCAGAGAGCACATTCACACCATATTTACAAAATAAAAAAAAATAAATAAGGTAATTTTAAAATAACAAACAGCTAAATTAGAACAAAATAAAATATCATAGTGAAGGAAGAAAATATAAATAATAGTAATAAAATAGAATTAAAATTTTCTTTTTTGAGTTTTACCAATGGGTAGTTTCTCTTCATGTTGTACATGTCATGTTACCAATGTCACATTTACTTATTGTATTTTCCATGTAATACAGTTGTAAATCTCAATAAAAAAAATCGTTAAAAAAGTAATAAAAATATACATCTTAGACGAATTCATACCTATTTACACTATTTACAGTCGGCCATGGGAACTCTGAACCAAACTTTTCCCCCCACATGTGGAGGGAAAGCTTCAGTAGATCCCTGCGCTTCTTCCTCAAACACTTCACTTGTATTAAAAGCCAGCGAAGATTCAGTAAGGGCGCTACAACCATAGACACTCATCACTTGTGTGGAGAATCTGGCCATTGCCAGAACTCCAATATATACATGTTACAAAAGGTCACGGGGCCACTGCCGTTCTAACCTGCGAGGAGGATTGTAGGGATAAGTGGTGCTAGATTATTGTGCTAGGATTGTGCAACAGGATTACGGTGATGGGTAAGGATCTGATGAAATTTGGAGAATTTGTCTTGGATCAGATCAAGAATAAATGGAATATTAAGGTTATTATGCAGGGTTTTATTGGTGATAGAAAGTTTAGATTTTCTATTAAGTAGTCTATATATATTTTTTTATTTTATTTTTTTTTTATATACATTACAACATGTCATACTGATAAGTTACATGCTTATGGTTGCAGTAACCTTACACATGACATAATAGTGGTTTGAATACTACTTAGAAAATTGATATTCATTTTTATAGTAGGAAAAATCTCATATAAAACCTACATAAGATATAAATGAAAAAAAATAGGTTACAATCATTAGAAGTACAAGAAAAACTAAATATAATTTATGTGCAAAAGGAAACTATATATATATATATATATATATATATATATATATATATATATATATATATATATATATATATATATATACATTTACTCACACAACACACATACACACACACACACATATATATATATATATATATATATATATATATATATATATATATATATATATATATATATATATATATATATATATATATATATATATATATATACATACATACACACACATACACACACACACATCATATAAATACAATTTGTTGATTGGGGTGATTGAGTTTATTGTTACTTGTTTGGTGATGGATAAGAAACCGTTAAAGTTTCACAAATAAACTGATTGATTTAGACGTTTAGTAGTTAGTGTGTTTAGTCCGTTTGTGTATACCGTTTCAAAGATGTTTTGTCATAGTTTCCTATTGTTTGTATCATAGGGTTTTCAGACGTTGGTGTTAGCTCAAAAAAGCTCTGTGTTTAAAATTAAATATATTTTTTTACTGTGGAAAGCTGTAGTTCTGCTAGCATAATAAATACTTTGGTATAACGTGGATAATTGTTTATGATTCTCATACACATATTTTGAATTACTTCGAGTTTATTGGAATTAGTCTCGCACGTGTAACTGCATACTGGGGCAGAATAAGTGATTAAAGGGCGGATTACTGTTTTATATAAAATTAGTTTATTTTTTGTATTCAGTTGTGAATATCTATTAAAATATGGTGACATTTTTCTGATCATGTTTTTTGCTGTATTGCACTTGTTGTTAATATGTTGGGTAAAATTTAAGGATCTATCAAGTAATAGGCCTAAATATTTCACGGAATTGGACCAAGGAATCTGTACTTCTTTTATGTGGATATTGTGGTTTATGCGTGGTCTTCTTTTTGTAAAAATAATTGCTTCAGTTTTTTATCATTTATTTTTATTTTCCATTTTTCAAAATACTTGCAGAGTTTTATGAATTGGGATTGTAATCTTTTAGTTATAGTATCGATTCTAAAAAAAGAGGTGTAAATAGCTGTATCATCTGCATATAAGGAGTATTCTATTGAAGGAATGGAAGGGAGGTCTGAGATGTATAGACTGATAGTGTAGGAGAAAGACAGGAGTCTTGAGGGAGACCTGCAGATAAGAAATGGTCATTCTTCATTGTAATGCAAAAGGATCTATTGTTGAGATATGAGTGAAGGAGGTCAATAATGAAAGGTGGGAATTTATATAAAATGAGTTTATGGATAGTGCCCTCATGCCATACTGTGTCAAAAGCTTTTTCTATGTCTAGGAGGAGCATACCAACATTCTTCTTTTCATTAAACGCTTTGGTAATATAATCGGTCAGTCTGGCTAGTTGGGCTACTGTTGAGTGTTGTTTTCTAAACCCGAATTGCTCGTTAGATATCAGACTATTTTGAGATATATGGCTCAGGATTCTTTTTAAAAGTAGCTTTTCAAAAAGTTTTGAAATTATATAAAGTAGACTTATTGGTCTGTAACTACGAACATATGCTGGGTCTTTGTTTGGCTTCGGAATCGTTATGATATTTCGTGTTTTCCAAGCTGTTGGAAAATATCTAAAGCAAAGCATACAGTTATACGTCTTTGTTAGGAATTAAATATCCTTTTTGCTTAATTTCTTAATGGCAATTAGAGGTATAGAGTCTGGACCGGGGGATTTTTTAGTTTTTAACTGCTTTATGACCTGTTTCACCTCTTTGAATGAGATTGAAGGGAATGTATTTGGAACCGGTTCTTTGAGAAAGCTTTTTACTGATTTAATGATAGTTCGATTGTGGTTGTTAGTGCCTAGATCAGCCGAAATATTAGATGCTAATGTGAAGTAGTTTTTGCTTCTGCCTTCTCTGTATTACAATAGGCCTAATTGTTTGATAGTTTGATTGGAGGGATATGGTGGGGACGATTTTTTAGAATTTTGTGTATTTTCCAAAAATTTTTTACCACCAGGAGATAGTTCTCTAAGAGTTTCCTGCCACTTTAAGTTCCTCCAACTGTTTAAATGAATTTTTACGTAGGCATTTAATTTATTAAAGAGGCATTTATATTTTATGTTCCTGGTGAGCTGGTATTTTTTCCGGAATTTATTTTTTATAAAAATAAAAAATTGTAGTTGGGGAGGTATGTTGTCGGGTTTGTATTGACAGGATACCTATTGAATGGATTTCATCATGCCAGTTTTGACAGTCTCCATAAATTTATCGATGTTAAAATCTATATTGGAGTTATTTATTATTACAGGGTTACTATCTATGATTTTTCATCGATCAACCAATCAGCCAATTTGAAATTGAATTTTGGGATCGTGCTGGTTTTTATGGTTTTATTTTCTAATCGAAAGACCACCGGGTTAGGGTCCGAACTGAGACATGGTACCGAGATAAGGCGAGAAACAGAAATATTTTTGGTGAGGGCTAAATCAATAATGCTAGATTTGAATTTTTCTGAGTTGGTATGTACGTTGGCTCGTTTGGAGCATGCAATTATATATTCTTCAGTGATATGAAATTTAATAATAATTTTTCATTTTTATTCGTGTTATGGCAGTTCCATTGTGAATTTTTAGTATATAAGTCCCCGAAAATGAGTTAGTGTTTACCGATATTAAACATAACGCTAAGATCTTAATAATAAAATGTATATTTATTTTATTTGGTGGGATATAAACTGCAACTGTGTTAATAATTTTGTTTTTGACCTTAAATTGAATTGCAGTCGCTTCCGCGTATTTTAAATTATCAATCGGCCTGTAAACGTACGGTAGATCGAAACGCACCATTATCATAACCCCCCCCCCACTTGTTCCTGACCTTTCAGTAAACAGTGTAGCCAGGGGCCGAGAATCTGTCCTTAGGAGATAAACGAGTTTCGCTTACTGACACTATATGGGGTTGATTTTGATGTAGAAATTGTTTGAATTCTACATCATTTCAGCGCAGTGTTTGGGCATTCCACATTATTAATTTTAAATGTCGTCTACCGTTGTTCATTATGAATAAAAAAAAACATTACATAATCACAAATATACAAGCAATAGTAAAAAAAAAATAATAATACGTAAATGGAAGAAACAAAACATATAGGTAAAAATACGTGAATATTAATAAGTCGTCAGAATGATTTAGTTTACGATATATAAGGTGTAGTATTGTTTTTTTTTTAGTATTAAGACATGTTTTGCTTAATACAAACATTAGCAATTTAGTATACATAGATTCGGTAGTAGATGTGAAAGTGTTGACTGTTTTCGTGGTAGGTGTGTATTTACATTTGATTGTACTCACTTTAAGATCAGTACACAGAGGAATGTTGTAGTTAAAGTATACAATGTGCGATATTAAACTAATAGAAAATATTGCATAAATAGCATCTTAAGCCTATTTTAAGTATTTTAAACTTTTGACTGTTAATCAATTAATGATAATAACCCTTCTATTACTATAAATATTTTTGACATGCTGTCTTCTGCCGATTTTATTCAGAAAACAATATTTTTAAATTTATTGATTATTTTATTTAAGTTCAAAAGTTTGAAAATATTTTTAACTTCTTTCAAACATTCAGTAATAGATGGATCGTTATTAGAAGGATTATTTCCACTAATATTGTCTGAGAATGTTTTTTGAAACCATTTTGAGTCTGTTTTTGGTAAGGAAGGAAAATCATTTTGTCTTAGCTTGAATATTTTTCGTTGTGAAGGGTGGATGGTTGGTTGTTGTTTACTAAGCTTCAATTGCTGGTTTCGTATGAAGTGTGGGCATTTTTCATAATTTGAGAAATGACTTTCATTGCAGTAGCAGCACTTCGGGACGAAGTCTTCGCGTATGATAAGTGTTCCTCGGAGCGCTTAAGGCAACGGGGTTTTTTGAAGCGGTTTTGAGCTACGTGATTATATTCTTGGCATAAATAACATTGTGTCAACACTTTTTGCTGACATATTTTTCCCATGATATAACAACATTATCACAATATTTTATGCGATTAAGTTTTACCAATTGTTCTTTATTATTTAGTATAATGATTGATAATGGTAATTTTAAATCTAATTTTTTAGTCATTTGAAACATTTTGTAAATCTCTAAGCCTTGTCTGTTTAGATCGGCTTGAATGTCTTCGATAGGATAGTCCGGGGGCATGCTTTTTAATACCACTTTAGGCTTAATCTCATGTTTAGCAGTATAGGTATGGAAATCATGATTAAATAATTTAAGTTCATTTTTAACGTTTATGAAATCTTCATTAATTCATAACAATGAAAATCTTGAGGTGTGAATATCTGCTAAACTAGCAGGACATACCTTCATAGGAATTTTTACTTTCCTACCTATACTAGGTAAGATTGCGATCGGTTCCAATTTCCGATATGCGATTTTCGTCGGATCTATAAGTTTCAGGGCCCGAGTTCGAAAACACATTATTGGCCATTTGTCTGTCTGTCTGTCCGTCTTTCTGTATGTGCCAAGATTTTCTCGGGAACTACTGAACCAATTTTGTTGCGTATAGGGGACGACAGGTATCTGGCTGCACCAGATAAGCAGCCTGGCTCCGGAAGCACACCAATTTTTTTAGCTTCTGCTCCTGTCGGAAATCCTCTCTCGATTTTTCCCAGATTTCAGAAGCTTGTCTCTAGAATAGGCCGCGGTCCACTTGTAAATTTTCAGCTCAATTAAACAAACTTTTTCCTATCATAATTTACTTTAACGTGGAGCCGATGTGCCACTATCACCGACTCGAGCTGAACTCCGATAAAATATTAAATAGTTATTTAGTTTTTAGTTAATTATTTTTTACTTATGGCGCAACAACGATTGCATTATTCTTAAGAAGAATATGTAAAAATTCTTTTCTTTTTACCGTTAGACTAATATTTTAATTGTTTTTACGGTCAGTCTAATGAATTTCCATTTATTTCAAGAGCTGGTTAATTTTTATAACTGAAATAACTTTTCTAATATTTGTGATTTGGGTTTAAATAATGAATAATATAAGGTGTCTTGAAATATTTATTATTACAGGTATGGAACGAAGCCGACTATTTGATTATAAATACAGCTTATGACCCTATTGCGAAAGAACGAGTTCGGCTATTACACCCCGTAGTCCTGAAGTTAAAACAGGATCCAGTTGGACAGGCTTATCAAATGGTCATAGATCATGTGAGTACATCTACTTTACTATATACATTTTTTAAGATCAATGTGAAAGAACTGTAATAAAAGGTCAGCTAAAATATCCGATAGCAATGTGCTAGATAAAAAATAGATATCTAATAACCAAGTGTTATGGTGTGAATGTGCTCTCAGAACTCTATTATAAATGTCCTTTATTGAGACAGATTGTAATATTTATCAATAAACAAATTATCCAGAAAATAACCAAGAATCTGAGCGCTGACAAAAATTAATTTATGAAATCTTTAAGAGCTACCAAATCTCTCAAATATAGTATATCTAAAGAGTTTCCAACTATTGATTGACCAGTTTCTATAAACAGTTCTTTATTGGTCTTTCATCTTCATCTGTTAGTACTCTGGTCCCAGATTGCGGATGAATGCTGTCCCAGAGGACCTACTAATTTATTAAAAAAATTAATATAAACATAATGCTGTTCACCCCCTTCCTCTAATAATAATAGATATCTGTGATCTTCTAATTCTTTTTTTACTACTTTGAGGGGGTAAACAGCATTTTTTTCATCAAGAGCAAAAACATTAATAGAAATATTGTTTGATGCTTCAAACAGTTTTATTTGATGAAGAGGGGTGGGGAAATCAACACATTGAAAGTCGTACCTATGCTGTATACGTTCATAATTTAAAACACGTTGAGGATGTTCATGTAACAAATTTAGATAAAATAGAGTATTTAAAACAAAAATTATCGGTTCATTACAACATTTATACAAGCTTTTTTTATTTCTAATTTTGTTAGATAATTCTAAAAAAGTGCTACCTCGAAGTGGTTTGAATTGGTTGATTTTTAATCTTAACCCCTCTATTACGTATAGTTTCCCGACCCCGACTTCTTAGTTTCCATATTTTCCATTTCATGAATGATTTTATTAAACCGGTGTTCATTTTTTTTTCTATTTCTGTATCTTTATAAATTGCTTTATTGCGTGTTTTAAAATACGTCTCAATGGTTTCCCCTAACTGATTTATCATTACACAATCAGCCCACATATTTATTCTAATAACTTTATGTTCTCGGAGGGAAGCATTTATTCTAATAAAAACATCGTTTCTGATACTATTGAAAATTTTAGAAAGGTTGTAATTGTTGTCGCATCTAATAAAATAAGACCTCAACATCCCTTTAAAAGCCGTCTCATACTCTGCAAAACCTACTGCATCGTGTTTGAGACCAAAGAGGTCCTGCCGTTGTGGTTGTTGTCTAGATTTTTTCCTTGGGGGTTCATTATTGCAAAATTACTCATGTCTAAAATAATTATAAACGTTTGTAAAATTTGTTCCGCAGAAACGGCAGGACCTCTTAAAAACTACTTTACATGCGATTTCATGCCTTAACATGTTGTCTTTTCGTGTAAACATCTGTACACATTTACTACAAATTATTTCACGCTGTTTATTAAAATCATCAAATCGGGACAGGTGTTTACACGGTTTTTCATGCCTTAAATGATGATGTTTTTGATGTAACGATGATGATGTTTTTTCATGCCTTAAATGATGATGTTCTCTATTAAAAGATTTTCCGCAATATGAACAAACAACAATTTAATATTATTTAAAAATTCTTGGGTTTGAGTGGAATCCCCACAAATAGCCTCGTGTCTTATTCTGTTATCTGATCTCGAAAAAGATTTGCCACATTTAGCGCATATACACGAGGCTAGTTGTGAAAATTCCTGTATAAATACATGATAATTCATGAGCCATGCACTCTTTATGGCTAGCAAATGTTTTGTTACAGTTGGCACATTTCCTTGATGAGGATTCCATCTTTGTAAAATTTATATTTAATAAAGAAAAAATCGGAGTTCCTCAAGGCAGCGTCTTGGGTCCCATCCTTTACATCATCTATACCGCTGACATTCCCGTCCATCCCGATACACTCCTGCCAACTTTCGCTGATGACACTGCAATCCTATCTTCTAACTCAGATCCTGAAATAGCGTCCAGAAACCTGCAACGGCACCTATCCTTGATTGAACACTGGTGCAAGAAATGGCACATCAAAGTAAATGAATCCAAATGTAAACATATAACCTTCACCCTTCGTCGTAATTCCTGTCCACCAGTTTACTTTAATACCCTCCAGCTTCCCTTCTGCGACACAGTCCGGTACCTTGGTTTTCTCCTAGACAGACGACTAACGTGGAATCCGCATACTAGACTGAAAAGACAGGAACTTAACCTACGTTTTGGCCAGCTATATAGACTACTTAATAGAAAATCTAAACTTTCTATTGAAAACAAACTACTGATCTACAAGACAATATTAAAACCCATGTGGACCTACGGACTAGAACTGTGGGGGACAACCAAATTTTCTAACATCAAACGCATTAAATCCTTCCAGTCCAAAGTCCTCCGTACAATAGTCGATGCTCCCTTCTATGTCTCTAATAAAACCCTGCACAATGACCTTAATATTCCATTTATTCTTGATCTTATCCCAGACAAATTCTCCAAATTTCATCAGAACCTTACCCATCACCCTAATCCCGTAGCACAATCCCTATCTAGCACCACTCATCCCTACAATCCTCCTCGCAGGCTGAAACGGCAGTGGCCCCGTGACCTTTTGTAACATGTATATACTGGAGTTCTGGCAATGGCCAGATTCTCCACTCAAGTCATGAGTGTCCGTGGTTGTAGCGCCCTTACTCAATCTCCGCTGGCTTTCAATGCCAGTGAAATGGTTGAGGAAGAAGCGCAGGGATCTCCTGAAGCCTTGCTTTCCCTCCACATGTGGGGGGATAAGTATGGTTCGGAGTTCCTATGGCCGACTGTAAATAGTGTAATAGGTATGCCTGCGTCTAAGATGTTTATTTTCATTACTTTTTTTTTTATTTTTTTTCTCACTATGATATTTTATTTTGTTCTTTTGTAGCTTTATATTATTTGAAGTTAGCTTATTTTTTTTATTTATTTATTTTTTTTTAATTTGTAAATATGGTGTGAATGTGCTCTCAGAACTCTATTATAAATGTCCTTTATTAAGACAGATTGTAATATTTATCAATAAAAAAAAAAATTTTTTTTTGTTTATTTGTTTATTTAGGCATACAATATTCTGTCACAGGGACAATAATTATATTGATAAATGAGCACATTCACACCGTATATACAAAAAAAAAAATAAAATTAACAAAGTAAAACAATAACTAAATAATAATAAATAAAAACTATATACAATAAAAAAACCTAAATATAAGTAAATTAAAAACATAAAAATACAATCATACCTATATACAATATATACAATCAGGCGGGGAACCCAAATCCCTGCGCTAGTCTCTCAACCTCCTCACCGGTGCTAAAGCCGGTGGAGTTTGAGCGAGAGCGCTTTAGCCACATACACTCATGTCTTGAGTGGAGAATCTGGCCATTGCCAGAACTCCAAAATAAATACTATAAAAGATCTCTGGGCCACTGCCGCTTCAATCTTCGAGGAGGGTTGTAAGGATGAGTGGAACTAGATAGGGATTGGGCTAGGGGATTTGGATGATTGATAAGGTTCTGATGAAATTTTGAAATTTTTTCAGGGATAAGGTCAAGGACAAATGGGATATTAAGGTCATGATGTAGGGTTTTGTTGGTTACATAGAACGGAGCATCGACTATTGTTCGGAGGACTTTGGATTGAAAGGATTGGATGCGTTTGATGTTAGAGAACTTTGCTGTCCCCCAAAGTTCAAGTCCGTAGGTCCAAATGGGTTTCAGGATTGTCTTGTAGATCAGTAATTTGTTGTCAATTGAAAGTTGAGATTTTCTGGTCAGTAGTCTGTATAATTGGCCGTATCGTCGGTTAAGTTCTTGTCTTTTAAGTCTAGTATGTGGGTTCCACGTTAGTCTTCGGTCTAAGATAAAGCCAAGATACCGGACTGTGTCTGAAAAAGGAAGCTGGATGGAATTAAAGTGGACTGATGGACAGGATCTGCGGCGGAGTGTGAAGGTAATGTGTTTGCATTTGGATTCGTTTACTTTGATGCGCCATTTATTACACCAGTGCTCAATCATGGAGAGGTGCCTTTGAAGATTTAAAGATGCTATTTCTGGATCTGAGTTGGATGATAGGATGGTGGTGTCATCAGCAAATGTTGCAAGGAAGGTATTGGGATGGACAGGGATATCGGCGGTAAAAAGGATATAAAGGACGGGGCCCAAGACGCTACCTTGAGGAACACCGGCTTCAACTGGGTAGGAGTCGGAAAATTCTGAACCACAGCGAACCCGAAAGGTACGATCAGAGAGGTAGGAGCGGAGGATTAGGTACAAGGACTGAGGTAGATAGGTTTTCAGCTTGGAAAGAAGCCCGGCGTGCCATACCCGGTCAAAAGCTTGAGCTATGTCCAGAAAAGCACCCGAGCAATATTGCTTGCTTTCCAGTGCTGCGGAAATATGATCGACCACTCGGAGTCCTTGTTGGACTGTGGAGTGTTGTGAACGAAATCCGAACTGATGGGAAGGAAGATTTTGGGATTCTGTAAAAGGTAGGATTCGTTTCAGGAGGATCTTTTCAAAGATTTTGGAGAGGATTGGAAGTAGGCTAATTGGTCTGTAGGACGTAGGGGTGTTGGGAGATTTGCCTGGTTTCGGAAACAGGATAATAGTGGAATGTTTCCACAAAAGAGGAAAGTGGGTGGTTCTAAGGATGGTATTGTATAAATAAGTCAGAAATATAACAGCTTTAGGAGGGAGTTGTCGAAGGATTTGAGAGGTAAGGAGGTCGTATCCAGGAGATTTACGGAGAGGAAGTTGTTGTAAGTGATGTTTGACCTCAGAAGGATTAATTGCTTTAGGGGGTAAGGAAAGTGGAATGGGTGATGTAAGGAATTCTTCTACTGTTGTGGTATGGGTGAGGTTGGATTCTGGATGAGAGGTAAATGTTCTGGAGAGGTGTCTGGCGAATTCCTCAGCTTTATCTTCATCAGACGCTGCCCAGGAGCCATCGCTTCTACGGAGGGGATG